ATCCTTTTCCCTTGGAGGAGAGGTATTTTCCTCCTTCCCCATATTTCTTGTGGTCCTGCAGCGATTTCTAGTCATCTCGTGGATGGTCGATTTTGTCCCAAACTTGGAAGTTCAATCTGGGGGTCAAGGAGTGTGTAGAAAAGGAAACAGAGAGAGGGAAACAAAAGCAACAACAGCAAAAAAAAAAAAAAAAAAAAAAAGCGCAAAATATACAGGAAACAAGAAATGGAAAATTATTTGTGGACGATAACACGTATGTTGATGTGCTTGATTGAGCCAATATACAGTGTATTCTGGATGGGAAATCTCATTTTGCATGCTGTAATGATGTATAGTGAATGAATGTAAATTAAAAAAAGAACTAATGTTGACACGGCTTTCTTTTTCTTAAACCATTTATTATTATTATTTTTTAATTTACTGTAGGACATGTACGCTCACCAGAGAAACACATACAGAGGGGATTTGAACTGTGGTTGGCCAAGTGGGAGACCAGTACCTCAACCATCATGCCACCTGTTGGCCCTGACACATTTTTCTTATATTAGTTAAAATTCCCAAGTTACATAAGCCTCTAGATTTGTGCTGTCCAAAATGGTAGTCAGAGGCCACACACGGCTACTGAGCAGGGGAAATGTCGCTGGGGTCCAAATGGAGATGTGCTGTGTAAATACACACTGAATTCTAAATTTTGAAGACTTAGTATGGAAGAAAGTTTGAAATATCACAATAAATATTAGATCCTTGGAAAAGTCATGACACATTTTTACATACAAAAACAGAAAAATACGTAAGACTTTTCCAACAACCTAACATTTTCAAAACTGATACACTGGGAACCAGCAGTTAGCATAATGGCTATGTCGCTGGACTCCCATGTAGTCAACAATTTTGAAGACTTAGTATGGAAGAAAGTTTGAAATATCACAATAAATATTAGATCCTTGGAAAAGTCATGACACATTTTTACATACAAAAACAGAAAAATACGTAAGACTTTTCCAACAACCTAACATTTTCAAAACTGATACACTGGGAACCAGCAGTTAGCATAATGGCTATGTCGCTGGACTCCCATGTAGTCAACCGTGGTTCGCGTCCCGGACCCGGTGGCTTAAAACTCACGCCGGGCGCGTGTGCGTGTGTGCCCAGGATCCTGAGAGGAGAATGGAGGAGAAGGGATTGCAGAGTGACCATCCTCCCTGGGGGATGATTTCTCGCTTTCTGTCTCTATGTCTCTCTCTGTCTGTCTGGCAAGCGCACGAGCCCTATAGCGAAAATCTCTCAAAAAAACAACAACAAAAAAAAAACCTGATACACTGTGGGGCCAGCAGGTGGCATGGTGGTTAAGGTACTGGACACTCCCACATGGCCGACCATGGTTCAAGTCCCAGACCTGGTGGCTTGCTTTCTCACTTTCCTTCTCGCTATGTGTCTTTCTCTGGTCAAATGAAAATAAATGAATGAATGAATAAAATTAAATAATTATTTTTAAAAAGTTGGTACACTGTTAAAATAATGTTTTAGATACATGGAGCTAAGTAAACTACAAGGGTACTTCATAAAATCACAGAAAAGAATAAGGTATGAGTTTATTTTGGTGCAAAAAAACCTTGAAGTCTAAGCATAGTGTTTTTTTTGCCAATATGCACTTTCTATGAACTTTATTTTTTTAAGAGAGGTTTTTGCTACAGGGTGCATGTGCTTGCCAGAGACACAGAAAGTGAGAAATTACCCCCCTTCCCACTGGAGATGGCCAAGCCACAATCCCTTCTCCTCCATTCTCTTCTTAGGATTTTGGGCACGCATGCACATGCACCTGGCGTGAGTTTTAAGCCACCGGTCCAGGACTTGAGCCATGGTCAACTACGTGTAAGTTCAGTGATGTAACCATTACTCCATCTGCTGGTCGCTTCTATGAATTTTTTAAAGAACTTTCATGTCATTAGCGTGAGGGTTGAATAAAATATATTAACATTAATTTTGTTTACTGTAACTTACTAGAAAATTCTAAATGATACATAGGATTTGAATTGTATTTCTATTGGATAGTGCTACTCCACATACAACTACTAATATAGAAAGAACAGATCTTGTTAGAGACCATAAAAGCAATTTATCTGTGAAAAGCTTACAGGGCAAACTCAATTTCTGCAATAAACTGTGCACAGAAAGGGGAAAAGAGAGAGACAAAGGAGAAAATACTGATTGCTATTTGAGAGCTCTCCTGGGATTGATATGAGATTCCTAAGCCCGTTCCTCAGAACAACAGATAAAAATTACCTAAAAAATAATAACTATCAATCTCCAGAAACCACCCTAACAACATAGAAAAAACAAACATTTATTCAAGAAAACTGAATAAACCTCAACAGCAAAAACAGCGAGAGTCTGCGACACTTAAATCACAAGCTGCCCCCTACTACCCAATCCAAAGCAGCATGATAGAGGCCCCAACCTAGGCAGGATTGACTGAGAGAGGAGTCTCCTTCTAGTTCCCAGAGGTAGGCTCTTGCTCTTCTTTTTCTCAACTCTCTGTTGCAAAGGCAAATTCAGAGTGCAGTCTAGAAGTGGAGTTTGCCCTCCTCTGCAAAGCTTAAACTCAGCATGGAGCCTCCATCTCCGGTACAGAGTGCTAATATGGTAACCCTGGTCTCCCTTGCCCCAGCTTGCTCATAGGGCAGAAGTTTTATGCCAGGAGAGACGAGACCAGTGGCTGCTGCCTCTGCCCAGTTTAGACAGCACAGCAGGGGTGTTAGGCCTTTGTGTCTATTATGATTCTGGAGCAATGAATCAGAAATTTTGCCCAGGGACAAGAGGCAACAATACGACATTATTTGAATTTGATATTATTTGAAACCTAAGTGTGCAGAAGCTTAAACCAGGGAGTGTTCTTGATAACAACGGCGATTTTGGTGGTGAGCAATGAAGAGAAGGCAGACAGCCAATGACAGCAACGTACCAAACCATAAGTCAACTTACCAAGAAAACTAGAAAAAGACAGCTAAAAAGAATCACCCTTGGTGGCAGATGGTGATGGGTAAGGCGCTGGACTCCTACTTGACCGACCATGGTTCGAGTCCCAGACCAGGCACCTTGCTTTCTCTCTCCCTCCCTCTCTCTCTCTGGTAAAATTCAATAATAATAATAATAAATTAAATAATTCTTAAAAAAAAAGTCCTTTAGCAGAACGAGCCTTAAAAGAGTTGGCTCAAAGTCTAACTCAGCATTTTTAGGGCAATACACTGTTATAAAATCACAATGATAAGTACAGGTCATTATAATTTGTCCAAACCCACAGAATGTTCAACATCAAGAATGAACCGTAATGTAAACTAGAGTGTGAGTAGTAACAATGTATAGACGGAGGTCAGTCAATAATCAGTGTACCACTTTAGTGGGGCTATACTGGGAACCAAGGAGGTTCCACATGTGTGGGAAGAGGGTTTATAGGAAGTCTCTGTATCTTCCTCTCATTTTGATGTGAATCTAAAACTGATCTAAAAATAGATTTAAACCAAAACAAAAAACATCCTGCAAACAGATTTAAATTTAGTGGATCAGACTGTGCAGCCTTTATGTGAACGATGTAAAATGGTGCAGCTCATTAGTAAAACAGGCTGGTGGTTCTTCAAAAGATTAAACAGCGCCACCAATGATCTGTTCATTCCATTCCTAGTTATATGTCCAGGAGGAAAGAAAATAAAAAAGGAATAAAATATTGATACAAGTGACAACAGTGATGCTAAGTGAAATAAGCCAGTCACAAAATAACCACATACTGCATGAATCTATTTATAGGAAAAGTCCAGAATAGGCAAATTTCTAGGGATAGATTGTTGCCTAGGGAGTATGGTAGGGGAGGCTGAGGGAAGTATGGAGGGAGTTTTAGAGTGATTCAAGTTGATCGTGGTGATAATGAACTACTTGGCATATATTAAAGCCATTTAACTGCTCACTTTAAATGGACAAACTGTATGGTTATATCTTCTACACTGCTGTTATTTTAAAAATGGTATAGACCTTACTAGAATACTGGTTCATATATATATATATAAGACTTGAATGGCTGTTGTAACAAAACACCACATGACTGACTACAGTGTGAGTCCTAGACTCACTGGCTTGAAACTCATGTGTGTGCAAGCCCCAATCCCCAAGAGACTGGAGAAGGGACTGTGGTGTGGCTATCTCCCCAGGGGGTTATTACTCACTCTCCCCTCTCTCTGTGCCTGTCATCTCATCTCTTCTCTTCTCTTTCTCTCTCTCTCTCTCTCTCGCTGGTAAGCCCATATGCCCTAAGACAAAAGAACCTAAAAAAAGAAAAAAAAAAAAAAAAAAAGATAAAGCAACTTGGCTACTTTAACACAAAAGGGAGGGGACCTAGTTGTGTATTATTAGCAGTGCAACTTTGGGTCAAATGATTTGAATTTATATAATTCTTCAGATTTTAGGCAATCATATTATGATATAATCTCAGTGGGGTTCATGGAACACCACATAATCAAATTATCCCTAAATTTCTCTAAGGAAAAAAAAATACACTAAGAGAAATTAATTAGGACTAAAAAAACCTCACATCAGGTAGTCATATCTGTCTACCAAATGAATTTTGATACCAAGCTTAAAAATAATAATGGTACTGACAGTGTCTTTTGATTTTCAAAATATTTATCTCCAAATTGCAAATCAAGGTGACATATGCTATAAACTGAAGTCCCAATTCTGCTCTATACCCTGTCAATAAAAGTATTCCCTATTTTGTAAGGCTGATGGGTAGTTCCAAATGAGGTGGCGTGATACATGAGTGTACCAGCGACTGCAAATATGACACGGATACAGCTTCATATCACCAGTTTCGCTGTTTGCTTTCTTAATGCTAAGTGTGTGCGCATGAGAAAGACCCAGGGATCTGAACTCGGGGTGGGCCGTGTGAATTCCAGCACTGCCATCTAGTACACTTCAGAGTATACCACATAGGCTGGGCCACATTACCAGACTTTTAACAAGTAAAGCCTGTTAATGTTTAATATCTTATTTTGAGAACAGAAATAACAATAAAATACATGTGTTTGGAATATCAACATATAGTAAAAAACACGAAGTGCAAGAACCCTCCATCACCAAGGCCTAAAGAGCAGCTATCCAGCTGTAGTCCACTTTCCTGAATTTTCTCAGTTCTTTTTCTTCAGATTTTGACAACTGATGTCTAATGTCTTCTCCCAAGTCTGTGCTATTTGTCTCCTGGGTCTTTTCAGTAAAGGCATTTTCTTCATCAGAATCATCACTTTCTTTTTCTTCTTCCATTTCTACATCATCAGGAATTTCTTCAGGACTATAATAACAATAAAATATAAACACACTTACAAGGCATTAAAAATATTTTTAGGGCCATGTAATAATGTCTCCTGGTGGTTAAGGCAGCCAGATCCCACATGGCTGAACACATGGTTCAAGTCCCGAAACCAAGAGCTTGAGAGACATGCCTGGCATGTGCGCGTGCATGCTCAAAATCCCAAAGAGAGGGAGAAGTGGAAGGGCCTGAGGCATGAGTGGGCATAACAGAGTGTGCTTTCTCTCCCCACCCTATCTGCTTCTCGGGCCAGCACATGTACTCTCCAACAAAATTACAAAAGAAAAGTCTAAGCAATAACTTTCTAATGGAGCACCTAACTATTCAAAGTAAATAAAGAATCTTGTTACTGAGTGCACTGTAAAAATTATACGTTATTTAAAAAGAGCATATGAATTTGTAAACAGTTCCATTTAAAATTATATACCAAACACTAAGGACATACCCACAAAAGATCTCTTTTCTGAGTCTTATTTTCAATGTATTTTCAATTGCCTCATTATTACTATAACCCTTAAAAGAACTTCACTTAATAATTATATATTCTTTACACTTTAAAGAGAAACACAGCTGAATAATATTCTAATAAAGGATAAAAGAAACTGTCTCGTTTTGCAAAACAGAGTATCTGAACATACTTTAAGAACTGCTTTACCTCTTAGTCTCTTCTGACAGTAACAAGGAATTTATAAACATGGAGCACAGGAAGGAAGCGGATGGCAACACATGGGCTGGAGTGTGAAGAAACTAGAGTAAAAACAGAAACATTTGGTTTCATTTAAAAAGATCCTCCTTTGACACAATTTGTTTCTTCAACTGTCCTAAGTACTTTTTACTTTAAATTCTAGGACTCAAACACAAATGGCTCTCCCCACAGAAAAAACCAACCAACCAACCAAAAAAAAAAAAAAGGATTTCTATTTTCCTACAATTATACAAACCACCCCCAATGTTGGCCTTACACCCCAGGTCCAGGTCAAAATAATTCCGAATCATAAGGTTATACTGTTTGGTTCAGGAATTAGTGTTGTGCAGCATACAAATTAAAGTTTTCTGGGGCTGGCCCCATAGCTGGTGTTTAAGGAAGCCAGATCCCACACAGCCGATCATAGTTTGAATTCTCAATCTGGCAGCCTGAAAAATACACTGAGAGAGAGATTGGGGGGAGAGGGGGAGACGGAGAGAGAGAGAGAGAGAGAGAGAGAGAGAGAGAGAGAGAGAGAGAATGTGTGTGTGTGCATGTACCCAAAATCTTAACGGAATGGCAAAACAGGAGAAGGGATAGCAGCATGACCACGCACTGGGGAGTACTTTCTCCCTCTCCCTCTGTCTCTGGTGAGTGCATGCCCCTCGGACAAATGACAAAAAATAAAAAAAGGGTCAAGTTTTCAGTTACAGATTGTATATGAATTCTAAGTCAGGGTGGCTTAATGACTTTGATGTGTTTCACGTGGTTTCTTTAGTAATTACCCACCTCATTAATTGCAGGGATGTTTTCTGTTAGGGGTAGTTGTACCAGCTGATTCTCTGAAGTTTCATTTAATTTTCCATCCTGCTCTTGCCTGTGCTTTCCCAATATGTAATAAAATGGTGTTGCTGGAAGACTTTCTTCTGCTATTAGCTGTATGAATTTAAAAAGAAGGAAATAATTTCAATAAAAAGGAGAAAATGCCTTTAACTAAACGAGTACTACAGAATCATAAAATGTCTGGGATAAAGAGAATTTTAGAAATATCTAGTATTTCTTATTTTACAAGTGAAACACCTAAGGCTTAGTATACCATTCACTACGGTCAAAACAGTGGACTCAAATGACAAAATATGCATTTATTACAGCTTCTTCACCAAATACTACAAAAATGGCAGCAAAGGAGTTTTCTAGAGTGCATAAACCCACAATGACAGAGAAAGGAGGAAAAGGCCATAATGGTAAAATGGAAGCTGAAAAGCAGGTTGAAGGATGCCAATTAACTTAGCAGACTTGGTAAGTAAGAATTCTAAGTTGGCTGTGGGGAAAGCCAAGAAGCATCTGGATTCAAACTATAAAACCCATAAACGGTCAGTGACTGGTAATAACAGTACCTCTGTAAGTGGGGGTGAGAGTGGGGTGAACAAAGCCAGATAGGCTTGTTGAACTAGATATCTACTCAGAAAGTGCTCAGATTCCCACAAATTTACCCAGCTCTAGCAGCAGGGTTTGAAGTCTATTCTTTGGAGAGAGAGAGAGAGAGAGAGAGAGAGGGAGAGAGATAGAGAGAGAATAAAATCATGTCTTTAGACTGGGGTGGGTTATGACACTGTTGTTTCCCAAGCGGAAGGCAGCTGTTTCTCAGAACGCTGGCAGTTGAGACTTAAGTGCTTAAGCAAGAACTTAGAAGAAATTTATCTGTGCAATTTGACCCACTTAAAAATAACGATACTGGGAGCAGCAGTTAGCGTAATGGCTGTGTCTCTGGACTCCCACGTAGTGGACCGCGGTTTGCGTTCCAGACTCGGTGGCTTTAACTCACGCTGGGGCCGTGT